CTACCGTGTGTAGCCAGCAGCCAGCGTGAGCGGCCAGCAGCCGCAGTGAGCGGCCGTCCAGAAGCCGGTGACTGATCTGCCTCGCCTGGGAAGAGAGCAATGATGGTGCCAACTTGCGCCAGTGAAGCAACGTCCTCCACAACTAGACTGAAGAAAAAAACGACAGCAACTTGTCTGTTCCCCTTCCTCCAATTCCCCAGTACTGTTCCCATCCCCTAGTTCCCCAATAAAAATCTTTAAAAAAAAAATGAAGTTCAGAGGAGGAACGCCATAGAGCTCTGGGACTCAGACTTCGGAGAGGAGAGTCCTGGTCAGCTAGTGCTGACACCTGGAGAGACTGGCGATGAGGCTGGCCTGTGAGAGCTGGAACCACTGCGAACTGGAATGAACTGCTTATGTGAAGAACCACTGCCTCAGTAAAACTCACACATGCAGGGACCAAACACAGAAAGAAACAGCAAACAGGAAGATGTGTCCCCTGCTCCCTCCTCCAGCCTTCCTCCAGCACCGTCTCCTGGCAGGCGATCAAATGGAGTCAGCTTCCCACCATGAAAATGAGGAAAAAGGATGGGTTTGCTGCCTCGAGACAACCGTGTGATTCCAGAGCCTTGCAGATAAGAGGGGCCTATCATGAATTTCCCCACAGACATGCATCCAAACAGTAATGCATGGAATAGGCTTGGATTTCTGTCTTTCTTCTCCAGATAGAGTGCCTGATTAGTAGACCATTCCTCAGGCTCCCTCAGCACCAGGAAAAGTGTGTGTGTGTGTGTGTGTGTGTGTGTGTGTGTGTGCGCGCGCGCGCGCGCGTGCGCGCGTTGGGCAGTGAGTACAGAAATTATATGGGAATTAGGAAACTAGGTTTGTTTGTTGACGGTGTGTAGTACTCAGAACCAAGGAACTTCAGCAACTCACATCAGCTTTCTGAGCCTGCCCTGCACCTGCAGGCGCACCTAATGGGCTTCCTACCTAACGACAGTAAATCATTCAGTGAATAAATACTGAGCAGCCACAGTGTGCAGAACACTACGTTTGCCCTGGGAATAAACCATTAGAAAGAACAGGCCAGGCAGCCCTCTCCAGAGCTTAGGGTCTACTGGGGGCAAGAGGCATTGGTGAAGCAACCACACCAAGTGTATAGAATCAACATAAAGCTAACAGCAGAAAGCCCCAGGCTTCATATATAACGCAGAGCAAAGGATCCTGACCGCAGTGGAGCCTGGAAGACTTCCCAGGAGAAGTGAAGTCTGAACTGAGCTATGAAGAGTAGGAGGTGTCAGGAAGAAGAGAAAGGGATTCTGGGAAAGACATATGGGCGGGGAGAGGAGGGGCTTTCCTTGCGGCACAGGCCTGTGGTGCGGAGAGAAGGCCCTAGAAAGGGGCCTAGGGCTGGGCTGATGCTCAGAGAGCAACGGGGGATGGGGGGGATGGGGGGTGGTGGCGATGCGCCTGGAGAGAGAGGCCGCACAGCCAGAGCCTTGAGCTGACAAAGGTGAGAGAACTTGGCCAACTGCAGAGTGCTAATAATATGTGTGTATGATTATTGTTCCTGGGATTTTTTTAAATACTTTTTTTCTCTCTCTCTGCCATTTAGAAAATGAGTTATTAAAACCAGAAGGAAACACGGAAACTGACAAGAACGCAGAAGCACGAAAATTCACAAAAACCGTGTGTGTCTCCCCAAAACCAAGGTGGCTTTCCCTCCCGCTGCGTGAAGGAAGCTAAGAGCTCAGAGGAAGAAGCACACCAACCCCTTCCTCCGTAAGTCCTTTCATCCGCTATTTAAAATGTAATAATAATGTGAGCTTAAAAGGTTTGATTGCTTGATCAGAGCAGCTTGTTAATTAAAGGTGCAAAGAGGGGAATGATTAGAGAGGGGAGTTTGCACCTGAGGGAGAAGAAGGATTAGTTTGCCTGAAAAATCAGATTAGCGTTGCTGGCAGCGGGCCAGTTGCCAAGGAAGAGAACAGAACCTCGGAGACATGCAGCCTGCGTCTTTCCAAACGCTGTGCTAGAGAGCAGGAGTCCCCTTCCCATGGCCAAGGTCAGGGAAGGAAGAGAGCCTCTCAGACGGCTCACCCTGCCATGGATTTGAATCCAGTATTAAGTATGGGCCTTGCTAATTGCTCTTAGTGGAGATAACTGTGTTTGGAATTCATTTGGCTGAGAAGGGCTGCGGCTGTGGAGTGGCCGACAGGACATGATTAATGAGGGCTGTTGGAGAGATATGGGCCTCGTCCCATCCTGAGGGCCTCTCTGGGTTTGGCTCTGTCACAGAGCCCTGGGTTTCATGAAGCTGAGCGGCTTGGTTTCCGGAGGGATGATTAGGAGAAAGATGGTCAGGTGGGCAGCCCGGGAGGTCAGGAGTGCAGGGATCGAATCCAGCACGCGTGCAGGATGAAACGGCGCACAGGGTGCTTGGGAGGCAGAGGGCCGGAGTTAGGGCCGGCGTCTCCAGCAAGGAGTCCTGTGACCTTGGGCTGATTATCTCTGAGGTTAGGATTCCCCAGGGTCAAAGGAGAAGCATGAAACCTACCTTGAGGGAGCCCTGCAGAATTTCCAGATAACGAAGCCCAGCAGTTTCCAGCACACTCCCTTTGTTCAATAAGAAAAGGCTGTGGGTAGGGGTACAGCCAAGTGTTCTCATGTGCCATCTTTCTCTCCACTGAGACGGGCCCAGCAATGCCAGCTGATGTTGAGGTTGATGATTCTTACCTAGATACTGCCAACCCCACATTGGGCATTTCTCCTAGTATGTCCAGAAGGCCTGCTCCCCGGCAGCCAGGGGACAGTCTCAGTTCCTGAGCATTTTATTCGATTATTCACCTCCCAGCCTTCAGTTGGCGCCCTGCAGGCAGCCCGCTCGCGCCACGCTGGTGCACAGCTCCCCCAGCCATGATGCGTGCATCGCTGGGAGGCATGGTGTCATGAGCACACATGCATCTTCTATATCGTTTGCCCGTGACCTCGCCCTGTTCCTTCCCAGCATAGGATATCAAATCAAGAACACATCTTACCTTCCATTTCCTGTTGCTTTTTCCTTTCAGAGACTTGCTGAAGGTGAGGGGCATGATAGGAGTGACCCAGATTTATATCAAATTGGTCAGAAATGCCAGTGGCCTGGGGACCCCACTGGTGGCTCACTTCTCAATCAGGGAGGGTCTTGCTGGGATCTTACTCTTACACCTGTGGACTCTGACTCTGAATCAGGGTTGTTAGTGTCAGAATTGAATTGCAGTGCAGCAGCTGGTATCAGAATAGGGCGGAAGAATATCATTCTAGAAAGAGTCCAAACTGGCTAAAACTTATATATACTCCTCAACTGTGTAGGCTTAAAATTATTTATCCTTCCTGCGCCTCAGTGTTGCCACCCGTCAGCTGGAGATAATGCTGACTGCTTGGCCATCCCATGGGCTGTAGGTACAGGTTCAAGGTAACACGCCTGAAGCACCGTGCACGGTATCTTAGTATAGCCAGTGTCCAATGAAGTTACATTTGGTTATGGCCACTGAACCCATCCCGCGGCATTACTAAAAGGCGCCATCACTGCGTCCCCCTTTTGTGACTACACAGCAGACTGCTTGAAGGCCAGCTTGCCGGACGGGCAATGAGCGGGTGGGTGGCAGATGCGGAGCTGGGTGGACATTGTGGCAGCCGCGGTGTGGCTTTGGCCTCGGGGGGTCTGCGTGCGGCACGGTCAGCAGCATTGCTTTAGTCCGTTCTAGAGCATCACGATGTGTTAAGATTGGTTGCTCGGGCATCAGGAAAAACCAAACCAAATGCAGACCAACAACGTCCTTTTCGTGCTGTGTGGTATGAAGTCAGTTACATGAACTCTGTTTATCTTAATGTCTTCATGGGACATGTTGACGTGATGAAATCATTTATTGCAAAGGAGCTTACGCTAACGTGATGCCAACTCAATGCCAGTTCTTGCTACTGTATACTCAAATACAGACCTGCATGTTCATCCCACTGTCTAATAGTGAATAACCAGGTAGGCTGGCAGGATGCTCTGTGAGACACCAAAAACTAGATGGTTCGAACATGCTATTTTCTCACTCTCTTCACTTAACGCAGTTCCTGGCACATTGCAGGCATTGAATAAATAATAATAAATAAATATGTGATAACATTTTTTCTTAAACTTGCAAATGCATAATTTAAATGCATTGCTTTTTTACCCCCAGTGGTACCCTGAAGAAAATTTATTCTGATTTTGAGGACCTTGAGAGGTTTCATGTTAGCACTGACAATTACAATATTCATCACATTCACCTGTCACATTAGGAGCCATTAATACCATTTCTTGGAAGGAAATGAAAACTTTTGAAAATATGAGTAAGTCTGAGTTCCATTTTTTTCAGATTGACAGCAGAAATTTTATGACAGGCTCTGTTTATTCATCTGGGGCTTATTGCATTTTTTTTCCTATGGTAAAGGCACCCAAAATATATCAGATTCTCTCAATACTATACCTTCCTGTATTTCTGAGAAGATGATTCCAGTAAGAAACTAACTGAAGAGATATAGCTTATTGGAAAGCTAGTTAATACATAACTTTAAAACTACTTCATGGGAAGAAAATAGGCACAAACATTGCTCATTCAATCTTTTCCCAAGAAACATGAGCTGAGAGATAAGACCAAATACAGATTAAAATGATGTTGATGATGATGATGGTGATGGTGATGATGATGGTGATGATGGTGGTGATGATGATGGTGATGATGGTGACGATGATATTGTTGATATATGGATAGAAGAAGAGGAATTGTCCATCCAATGGGAAGAAAATAAAATGAAAAGAGTGCAAGATGGAGTAGAAAGTGAGGATTTGGAGACTGAAGTCCTGGCCCGAAGGCCTAGCTCTGGTGTTTGAAGTAGCTGAGCCTATGTTATGTAACCTGTGCAGTGCATTACCATGGAAGACAATTAAACAAGTTCATATATGTAAAAACACTTTGTGAACCAAAGCAATTTGTGTTGCTGATGTGCGAGTGAGTGGCAATTATTTCTCCAGTATCCCGTGTTTAATGAGATTGTTATTTCTTCTCTGAGAACTGGCTCCAGTCTCATTATGTAACATCTCTCTTTATTTCTGACCATTTTCCTTGTTCTGAGTCTGTTTTGTTAGCAGTTAATGTAGTTACTATAGATTAACTGTGATTAGAGTTAGCCTGGCATATCTTTATTCATCTCTTACTTTTAATTTGTGTCTTTGTATTTCAAGTGGATTTCTTGTAGACAGAACATAGTTGAGTCTTGTTTGCTTGTTTTATCCCCTCTGACAATCCCTATTTTTAATTGGTATAATTATCAATTAAAACAATTATTGGTGCCGTTGAATTAATATTTACATTGTCTGTAACTTCCTATTCATTGCATTATTTTGTCCCTCCCTTTTTCTGATTTCTCTAGTTTTAATTGAGCATTTTATGACTTCATTTGATCTCCTTTTTTAGCATATTTATAGTAATTATTATTTTTTTTAATTTTAGGGGTTGTTCTGGAGTTTTCAATATACATTTTAAACTAATCTAAGACTACTATCAAATAACATTGTACCACTTCGTGTTACCATATATCAGAGTACTCCTGGTCCCTTTCTCCCAACCCTTATGACACCGTTGCCATTTATTTCGCTTAGCTATATGCTATAATTACCAATTGCATTACTATTACTTTAAATAAACAGGGAGGTATCTTTTATTCAACTAGGAATAAGAAAAATAGAATAGTTTGCCTTCATTTTTTTTCTTCTCTGACATTTTTTTCTTTATGTAGATATAAGTGTCTGATCTGTATCATTTTTCTTTTGCCTGAGAACATATTTTCGCTTTCCTTACAGGAAAGATATACTAGCAATTCATTCTCTTGCTTTTTGTTTGTCTGAGGAAATCTTTATTTCTCATTCTCTTTTCAAGGATAATTTCACTGGATATAAAATAATAGGTTGGTGTTTTGTCTTGTTTTTGTTTCAACAATTTAGGTATTTCGGTTCACAATTCACTCTCTTCCTGTTTGCTTGGTTTATGAAGAAGCCCTCTGTAATTCTTATCCGAGTCCCTCTATAAGTAAGGAGTTCCTCCCCAGATCTGGGCTCTTTCAACATTTTTCTCGTTGTCTTTGCTTTTCTACAATTTAAATATGAAACGTCAAGGTGCAGATTTGTGGGAGTGAGGGGGAGGGAAGGTATGTATCATGCTTAGTATTCTCTGAGCTTCCTGTGCCTGTGGTTTTGTTTCTGTCATTAATTTTAGAAAGATTTTGGACATTATTACTTCAAATAATTCTGCCCCATTATCTTTCTTCTTCTCGTGCTCCAATCATGCATACATTCCATCTTTTGGAATTTTCTCACAGATCTTGGATGTTCTGCTGTGTTCTGTAATTTGTTTTCTTTACTTTTCAGTTGGAGGTTTCAATCAACCTATCTTCAAGTTCACTGACTCTTTCCTTGGTGGTGTTTAGTTTACTGACGAACCCATTAAAGGTCTTCTTTGTTTATGTTACAATGATATATTTTTTAATTCTAACATTTCCCTTATTTTTTTCTTAGAATTTGCATCTCTGCTTACATTGCCCATCTGTTTCTGCATATTGTCAAATTTTTTTCCCATACAGCCCTTAGCACAATAATCATAGTTATTTTAAATCCCCTGTCTGATAATTCCAACATCTGTGTCATATCTGAGTGTGATTTTAATTATTGCATTATCACTTCAGATATGCTTTGTTTTTGCCTTTTGGCATGACTT